GGGAATGGGGAGCTATCGTTTAATGGGTATAAAGTTTGTTTTGCAAGATGAAAAGAGTTTAGAGATCAGTTGCACAATGTGGATGTACTTATTGCTACTGAACTGTACACTTAAAAAGGGTTGAGCCCTTGCTCTGGCTGGTACAGCTCAGTGGATTGAGCGTAGGCCTGCAAACCAAAGTGTTGCCAGTTCGATTCCCAGTCAGGGCACATGCCTGGATTGCAGACCAGGTCCCCAGTAGGGGGCACACGAGAGACAACCACACATTGATGTTTCTCTCCCTCTCTTTCTCCCTCCCTTCTCCTCTCTCTAAAAATAAAAATCTTTAAAAAATACCTTTACAAAAAGGGTTAAATGGTAAATTTTATGTTGTATTTTCCCACAGTTAAAAAATACTGAGTGCACCAGTTTGAAATCTTTTTAAAAAATATTTCATTTATTTATTTTCAGAGACAAGGGAAGGAGAAAGAGAGAAACATCAGTGTGTTGTTGCCTCTCAGGCACCCCCTAATGGGTATCTGGCCTGCAACCCAGGCATGTGCCCTGACTGAGAATCAAACCAGCAACCCTTTGGCTCACAGGCTCATGCTCAATCCACTGAGCTACACCAGCCAGGATCCAATTGGAAATCTTCAGTGACCTTTGACAATTGTATACAGTGTGTGACCCCCTACACCATGAAGAGTTTCATCATCCCCAAATTCTTCTTCTTGCCTGTGTGTAATCATGACCCCATCCCCTCTTCTTCCCCCCAGGGTAGCCCTGATCTGATTTCTGTCCCTATAGTTTCCTGTTCCTTTGTCTGCAGTTTCACATAAATGGAGCCATATAGTCTGTTTCTTTTTTTGTGTCTGGCTTCTTCCACAAGACACACTGTGTGTGAGATTTATACTTGGTGCTACACATGGCAGTAGGTAGTTCTTTTCGTTGCTGACTAGTATTTCATCCTGTGGACATAATACACTTTGTTTACCCATTCCCTCCGATGAGCATTTCCATTGTTTCCAGCTTTCCAGATTGGGTTTTTATGAACAAAGTTGCTGTAAATATTTGCGTGGACATATATTTTTCTTTCTCATGGGTAAATATTTAGGAGTAGGATTGCTGACTCATGTGGTAAATTTACATTTAATTTTAAAGATTTTGTTTATTCTGGCTGGCGTGGCTCAGTGGATTGAGCGCAGGTTCGATTCCCAGTCAGGGTACATGCCTGGGTTGCAGGCCATGACCCCTAGCAACCGCACATTGATGTTTCTCTCTCTCCCCCATCCTTCCCTCTCTGAAAATAAATAAATAAAAATTATAAAAAAAATAAAAAAAAGAATCATCAGGGTGCAGATGAACTTTGAAAAAAAATATTTTGTTTATTTATTTTAGAGAGAGAAGAAAGGAGTGAGAAAGAGAGGGAGAGAAACAGCGATGTGAAAGAGAAACATCAATTAGTTGCCTCTTGTACATGCCCCGACTGGGAACTGAACCCACAACCCAAGCATGTGCCCTGACTGGTAATCGAACCAGCAACCTTTGCTTTGGGGGATGAAGCCCAGTGAGCTGAGCCATACTGGTCAGGGCTAATTTTAAATTTATGTTAACAATAAACCATTTTTCAAGGTGGGTGCAGTGGGTTGAATGGTGGCCCCCAAAAGATATGTCCACATCCTAATCCCCTAGAACCTATGAATGTGATCTGATTTGGAAAAAGGGCCTTTGCAAATGTAATTAAGTTAAGGCTCTCCAGATAAGATCATCCCAGATTTAGAGTGGTCCCAAGTTCAATGACAGGTGTCCTTATAAGAGAAAGGCAGGGAAAAAAATTAGACACGTAGGAATGATTACCTATGCAAAGCAAACTGGTGATAAAAAAATTGTCCTGTTTACCTGTTTACATTTCCCTATATGCAAACATCTTGCTCCCTTCTGGAAGAGCTGGTACTTATATATTAGGCCAGTCAATATTAAAGTGATTAAAAAGATTCTTAATGCACAAACATATGCTAATAATATGTGAGTTGGAACCCATAAAACCTGGAATTATCTTCTGGAGGGCAGACCCCTTGTAGTCCCAGCTTACCCTGCTAGGTGTGTTCTAGGAACCCATCTGAGTCAGTGTATCAGCTGGTGGTGTTGTCAGAGGCTGCGTTCAGCTTCAGTGAATTTTTTTTGAAGACTCTCAATGCATTTGCCCATTTCATGATGGCAATTTATGAGCGCACCTGCCCACAGTACATCAAGTGTTCAGCAGTTTTTGACCAGAAATGGCATAATCCCCATGCCCCACCCTCCCTATTCACCCGAACTAGCCCTGAGTGACTTTTTTGTTTCCCCAGATGAAAAAAGGCCTCCAAATGAAACGTTTTGCCGATGTGGAAGGGGTGAAACAAACAAACAAAAAATGACAGGGGCACTAAAAGTCATTAAAATCAATGAGTTCAGAAACGTTTTTAAGCAGTGGAAAAAGTGTCTTGATAGGTGTATTGCATCAAATGGAGAGTCCTTTGGAGGTGACTGAAGTTTAAACATTTAAGAATAAATACACAATTTTTTAATAAATCAATTCCGTTTTTTGGAGGTCCCCCTCTATGGTAACCATGAGCAATTATAATAACCATTATCATCAATATTAATAGCTAACTTTTGAGTCACATGTCTGTATGCCGAATACTGTGCTGTCTCATTGTATTACTTTAGTCTTCGTCACATTCTTATGAAGCAGGCATTATCATTTTTTGTATCTTACAGTTAAAGAAATTGGGGCATAGATTGGTTATACAATTTGCCCACACTCACAGAACTAATATGTGGGGAGGAGGAATTTGGATGTAGGCTGTCTGACTGCAAAGCTCATTTGCATTCCAGATAAACCCTTGCTGAAGATGGTGGCAGCATCAAATGTTGCAGACAGTAAGCCAGCAGCCTGCCCAAGAAACCAGTAGAATATGACATCAATTTAAAGGTTAAGTTTCTTTGACACGATGGAATGTCTTCTCATGTCTATTTTCAAGATATTTATTAGGTTAAAATTAACCTGCCATTCTTGTGGATGCTAATAGGCTGCCCTGTTCACCCTTAAGCTAAACTTTACAAATGATATTGTAGTTTTATAACCTTGACATTTATTAGGGTTTGAAAAGTGCAGCTTGCTCCTTGAGAAAAGAGAGTAAATATGCTCCTAGTGTAATTAAAAAATTAATGTTATGCCCTGCATGGTGTGGCTCAGTGGATTGAGTGCTGGCTTGTGAACCAAAGAGTTGCTGGTTTGATTCCCAGGCAGGGCACATGCCTGTGTTGTGGGCCAGGCCCCCAGCAGGGAGCATTCAAGAGGCAACCACACATTGATGTTTCTCTCCCTCTCTGTCTCTCTCCCTTCCCCTCTGTCTAAAAATAGATAAATAAAATCTTATAAAAAATAAAAAATTAGTGTTATATGTCCATACAGAGAGAAAGGAAAAGGGAGATTTGAAATAGAGAAACACAGGAAACAAGAGGATGCGAAGACAGAAGCAGAGCAGTATGTCTACAAGCCTCGGACCGCCGAGGGTCGCTGGCAGCCGCCGGGAGCTAGGAGAGAGGCGTGAGACAGATCCTTTCCCTGAGCCTCAGAAGGAACCACCCCTGCTGACACCTCGACTCCAGACTTCTGGCCTCCAGAACTACTAAAGAATAAATTTTGGTTCTTTCCAGCCAGTTTGGGGTAATATGTCATGGCGGGCCCTACCTACCAAACGAATGCAGTGGTTTTACCATTTTTCATGCTACAGTTTTTGGAAACGATGTTTATGGGCAAGTGGGTATGAATTTATGCCCAGTGGCCAAGAGAGAAATGTACTTAAGCATTTACAACTTTGAAGGCCTGTCCCCTGCCCACTGCCACGTGATTCTGTTGGGGTTGTCAATCACGGGCCATGTGTTCTCTACTAAAGAACTGTGCAACTTCAGGAAATGAATCCACAGCTGAGTAAGAAAGGGTGACGTCCTGAGCCAATCCCAGGTGAGATGAAGGCAAGTCAGTCACGGCAAGGGGTGGGCCCCAGAGCAAGCTTGCTAACGGGACACATGATTGGCTTGAGGTGGTCATTCAAAGACCCAAGTGCAACCAATCAGAATCCTTTCCCTGACTCACTCTCTTGTGTGTGTGTGTGTGTGTGTGTGTGTGTGTGTGTGTGAGAGAGAGAGAGAGAGAGAGAGAGAGAGAGAGAGAGAGGGAGAGAGAGGGAGAGAGAGGGAGGAGACCCCGATTTTGGTTCCTTTGATGTTATCTGCTTTGAAGGTGATTGCAGCAGGTCTTGTTAATTTCCTCCCTAACAACCATTCCCCTCTCTGTGCTTCCTCGCTGATGAAGTGCCCCCCGCCCCCGCACCATGGATGGAGACTAGAAATGACAGATGCTCACTTTCCCAGACTCAGGTGGCCAGTAAACCCAGTTCTGGCCAATGAGGAGAACCCTTCCGGGGAGAGAAAAGACAAACACAAAAGGGGAGGCTCCTGCCCACATGTCCTGTTCTAGAAGCCACGATGTGAGAACAGAATGCATGGAGCTAGCGCGCACTGTGTGCACTCCTGAGAGAAGGCAAACCGACTCTCAGGGAGGCCAACCCACTCCAGCGGAACTAACCCTGGGACTCTGTGTCTTTGACAGATATGTTATTTGAGCAAAAGCAATCTCTGTCATTTCAGCTCTTTCTGTTGGAAATGCAGCTGAAGGCATCATAACAGATGCAGCATTATAGGCCTGGAGCTCCAAATGGCTGTCTTATTACCATTGCAAAGACCTGCTTGGAAAATAAAGCTAATAAAGAGCTAGGCAGAGTCACTTGAACACCTGGATCCAACAATGCCTGAAATCCTATACTCTCAGACTTGCCATATGTAGAGGTCTTCCAGTTCTGCTTGTGGCTATGATAGTTTGGGTTGCATTTTGTGTCCTATAACCATAGTGGTCTTGGTCAATGTCCCATTTACAAACTAAGGCTTAAATAGATCAATCAAGTTGCCAAAGGTCATCCAGCCAGCAGATGTTCTGGGTTCATTTGTCTGAACCCAGAACAAGGCTGTTCTCACCCCGCGGCTGGGTCCCAGAGAGACAGGAGCCCCAGGCAGAGGGAGACCCACGTGTGTTTATTCTGGGGTTGACAGCAGCAGCAGTGGTGGACTGGCCAGACTCAGGGTGTGGCGCACAGAAGGGGCAGACACAGGTGTGTGTCGTCTGAGTCTGGGGGAGCACAGAGGATTGGTCCACTGACATTCATGGTGAGAACCAGGGTCAGACACCAAGTCTTGAACAAACAGCAAATAGACAGACAGACAGACAAGACAGACGGAGGGTTTCGAGGGCTGGGGTCCCCCAGACATGCACGGCCCCTCGCCTGGAAGGGGAGCCCCAGGGAAGGACAGACAGACACAATGGAGACAGAATGCCCCCCACCCCGAAACAGGGAGCTGGGCCCACCGGCCTCCCGCCCTCACGCCTCTGGGGGTAGAAGGATGGGCAGGCCCAGGACCGCCCCGCACCACGCAGCTCGGACGTTATGGCTTCGAGGAGATGAATTCACGGTCCGGGCAGGAAGGGATGGGGTCCTGAGCGGGCCTGGTCTGGTCCCCGGTCTAGGCCAGACCTGCAGGGCTGGGCAGGAAGGATGTGTCAGTGACAGCAGGGGCAAGCCCGTGACTGGCCATAGCTCCATCACACCCCGGAGACCCAGGGGTCAGGACCCCCAGCCCCTCCTCCCTCAGACACAGGGGTCCGGACCCCCAGCCCCCTCCCTCTCATCCGGGCTCCTTACCCCTCACTCTGAGTTCTCTTTTTCTGACAATCCTTTGCTGCCTTTCGTGAAGCTGCTCAAAGTCTTTTCCTGAAGTGGAAAATCCAGAAGGTTCAGGAGTAGGGGGCAGAGGCAAGACAATCACTGATAATCAACATAGTAAGACACCCGTCCAGTTTTCCTCATTCACAGTGCTCGTCCTCACTCAACTCTGACATGATGGGGCCAGTGGATTGACCGTCCCGTTCTACAGATGGGAAAACTGAGGCACCAAATAGTTATTGGAAATGGGAGGAGCGATGAGGCCGCAGGGGTGAATGGGGCAAACTGTGCAGGGCCTCAGGGCTGGGGGCTGAGACTCTGTCCTGGGGGCTAGGGAGCCACAACAGGGCTATGAGCAGAGAGCGGGCAGGGTCAGCTCTAGGGATAAAATGACCTTCTGAGGCCACGCAGAACTATTGCCTGAAAGTCAGGGTCAAGGCCAGACTTAGCCAGGGTTCAACTTCTCTCTGCGTCTCCAACACTGTCCACTGTGAGTACAGCCCACAGAAGCTTCTGGAGAAGTCAGTGGAATGAATGAATGAGTGAGTTAGCAGAGAAACGAATGCCAGAAGGAGGGAGTAGCTGCCATCTGTCGGTCTAAGCAGAGTCACAATCTTCTGAAAACTCAAATCTGAGTCCACGCTCAGCTGCTGAAATCCCTCCCCAGCCCTGGAAGAAAGCCCAGCGCAGGGCTGGACTGGAGTGAGGCGAGGGAGACATGCATCCAGGGTGCTGCATGCAAGGTGCACCCAGCCAGACTCAGCAATGAGATACATACTGTTGGAATGTGATGTTTTTTTAAAAATCAAAATTAATGAAAAAAAATCCACAATAGAAAATAGAAAATTTAATGAAAGCCAGTCCCGTGGCCTATCAGGACCCAAAATAAATTTTAAAAATATGCACCTCTATTTTTACAATTAAAATAATTGAAAAATAATGGAAAAAGGAAGAGTAACTGTTTAAATTCACATAAGTTGAAGTTTAAATATCTTATTTATACCCTAAACAGAATTTAGTATAATTTTACTTTCTTGGCTTTATTGGCAGCAAATTCAACAATAATTCTTTACAAAACTGACTGCTTTGTTTTTCTTGGTTTCAAATGAGAGAATGGCCATATATGAAAATTTCTCTGGACCACGTGACTATCTTAAATGATTTTTATTTTTATTTTATTTCGCTTTTTTATTGTAGTTATTTTTAGACAGAGGAGAAGGGAAGAAGAAAGAGGGAAAGAAACATCAATGTGTGGTTGCCTCTCACGCACCCCCTACTGGGGACCAGGCCTGCAACACAGGCATGTGCCCTGACTGGGAATCGAACCCGCGACCCTTTGGTTCACAGGTTGGTGCTCAGTCCACTGAACCACACCAGCTCAGGCTTTTAATTTTGAAAATATTGTCCAGCTGGTTCTCTTGTGATCCCTAAGGCTTCCCGTGATCGGCCCTGCCCCCTTCCATCTCTGCTCCAAGCGCACCTGCCTGCACCAACCTCTGGCCTCCACCTCTGCACTGCTTCTGAGGATGGCTGGTGCACGCTCCAGGAAACCTTCACCTTCTAACCTCCACCTGAGCCCATTCCCTCTCAACCTGCAGGCCTCTGCTCAAATGTCACCTCCTCCTAGAGGCCCTCCCCGAACCTCTAAGGGGCTGCCCCATTCCCCATCCACACTCCTTCTACTTTCCAGATGTCCGAACTTGTTGGATCACAATCCACAGGACAAAATAAATAAATAAATAAACCAACACAGTGATCTCTACAATGAGTACTCCCTGGTAAATTTTCTGTTCTGTTGCATTTTGACTTTCTTTTCTTACTCATTAAAAAAAAATTGTTGATCCTTATCCAGTAAACCACAATCCACAGATTTTCATACTCTGCTTAAACAAACAAAAAACCCAATCCTGCTCCAATCTATCACTCAGTTTTTCCCCTTTACTTTGGCCTTAGCATCTTGAGAAATGGTAGGAACAGCAGGCGACCCTCAGCTGAGCCCTTGCTAAGAGGCAGACACTTATTCCTGCATGAACTCACTGAGTCCCCACATCTGTGCTAACGGTAGATGCTATTAACAGCCCCATTTCCCAGCAGAGAAAACTGAGGCACAGAGAGGGTAAGGAACTGGTTCTAAGTCACACAGCAGACATTGGTAGAGCACGTTTTCAAACCTAGGCTATGTGACCCCAAAACTCAGAGATGTGTCACGCTGGGTGAGTGGCGCCCACTCACCTCCACCAGCTGATGCCAGTGCTCCACGGGCTTGCGGGGGTTGGCCAGCATCTCCGCCCAGTGCTCCCGGCCGTGGGGGTCGGCGGCATCAGGGCCCACGCGGCACACGCCAATCACCTCGTTGTGCCCGATGCTGGGGGGGAGTGGGTTGTGGGCCATGAGCACCCAGGTGGGCAGGGGGCGACCCGCTCCCACTCCTGCCCGCACCCCCGGGCCGCGCCCCTCACCAATCGTAGTCTACCACTGCGATGCTGAGTCCCACGTTCTCCACGCTCTCGGGGGCCACGTCGAACACCAGCGCCTCGTTGTAGGTGGGGTTCAGCGTATTCTTCTTGATGGAGGTTTTCCGCTTCTTGAGCCGCCGCCCCTCGCTGATCAGAGAGGCCTTCACGTAGGGGTCTGGGGGTGGGCAGGGAGAGCAGTGAACTATGACCTCCTTCCTTGGACCCCTCCCCCCAAGGGTCTGGGTCCCCAGCCTTTTCTCCCCCAGTCCCCTCCTGCCTCAGACCAAGGAGTCCAGGTTCCACCAGCCCCCTCCTCCCTCAGACCTGGGAGTCCTGACCCCCCAGTCCCTCCTCCCTCCGGTCTCAGTGCCCCGGCAGACCCACCCGAGAAGCCAGTGAGGTCCATGGCTTTGAGGTTAGAGGCTTTGATGATGGTCACGGTGAGGCGCCCGGCCGTGGGGAGGTAGCAGAGTGAGAAGTTCAGCTCCCCAAGATCTGCCTTTTCCTGCAGTTGGAGAAAGGGCTTTAGCCACATGCCCTGCCTCCCTCTGTCTTCCCATCTCTCCTGGACTCCTCTCCCATCCGAAGCCTCCAGGGCTCTCCTCCCTGTCACCCATCCAGGGCTCAGATTTCCAGCCCACTTAACAATCTGACTCTGGGCCAGACCTGGTAACTCCCCGGCCACAGCTGCCTGCCACAGTCAAAGCCTATTTGTTCTGCAGGGAAGAAGATGGGAAGAGGCAAGAGCAGAGGTCGGGTGGGGGTGGGGGTGGAGCGAGAGAGACACACACACAGAGAAATAGCCTGAGACAGGGACCGAAACGCTGAGAGAGGCAGTTAGAAAGACAGACCTGCAGAGTTCTCAAGCAAGAAAAACAGACCCGGTAAGACGGAGACCCAGAGAGTGTCAGAGGCCCAGGACCACAGGGGGCGCCAGAGCCCCAAGGGGCAGAGGAGGGGGGACAGAGACTTGGTGGGGAGCCGTGGGGACCCAGAGAGATAGACCAGGACGAGAAGGGAGGTGCAGGAACCCGAAAAATGAACAGAGGTCTCCCCAGAGAAAGAGACAGAGGCCTGAGACTGAGACCAAGAAGAGATGCGCGGAGAAGTCAGCGTTAGGGAGGCAGGAGACCCACACAGAGCCAGAGCAAGGCTAATAGGAGACAGAGCCTCCCATGCCGACAGGCAGACAGACAGACACAGACCAGTGGCCAGAGCTAGCCAGGACCCACGGCCTGCCCCACCCTCATCGGGGCCCTGGCCTCCCAACCACACTAACCGAGGAGGCCTCAGACCCTGGTCCCCCTGCTCACTCACTCCCCTTGTCCCAGGCTGTTCCCTCCTCACAATCTTCAAGCCTCAACTCAGCTGTTACCTCCTCTCACAAGTTCCCAGAGCCCCTGCAGCCCCGAGCAGGTGCTCCTCCTGCCCCTTCTTAAGGCTTGGCCCCGGGCAGCGAGCTGCGTGACAACCTAGACCTGGAGCTCCTGAGGACTGTCTCAGGTCCCCAGGTCTCAGGCCTGCAAACAGAACCCAGCTGTTGAAGGAATGCATGAATTCATGGGTGAAGACCCTGAGGAATAACGAGGGCAGGAGAAAACGGGAAGGGACAGACACGGGAGACAAAGATGGATGCAGGGAGAGAGCCTGGGTGTGGAACTGCCTTGGGTCACGACAGGGAGAGGGGGCACAGTGGGGGCCCTGGGGACCAGGATCCTGGAACTAGGCACGCAGCTCTCAGAGGCAGGGCTTGGACCGAGCAAGCACACCACAGAGAGTCCCGTGGAGGGGACTGCAGGTAGAGCCACGGCACCGGTTCCACTGTGTCACTGTACATATGGGGAAACTGAGGCTCAGAGAAAGAGAGGGCCTTGAGCATGGCCATCGTGTGGGCAGCCGGCCCTCTCCCGGTATGAGGACAGGGCTTACCCCCAACACCCTCCAGCCCCCCGACACACACAGCTTCCCCCGGCTGGCTGAGTTGGAATGCTGGGAATCCCCAGACTGGAACCGAGGGGGCCGAGTCTTGAGTGAGGATGGGGTCTGGGTGCCCAACAAGGACCTAGGAGCGGGGCTGCGGGAGGGGTTGCCACCCAGGAGAGTGAGGTTCCAGAAGGCGCGGATCATGAGAAACGAGGAAGGAGTATGGTGGGTCTCACAATCCGAATGCTGGGGAGTTGGGGGTGTCAGGATGTTAGGACCCCAGAATGTCTAAGGCCTGGGGGGGTGGGGAGTCAGGCTGTGAGGATTCAGGCGGAGACTGAAAAGCAGGATTAGATTCAGTTAGAGAGTCTGGAGGTCAAGGGTTGGAAATGTGAAATGATCAGAGATCAGAAGGGTTGGGGGTTCAGGAAGTGTGGGAAGAGGAACACCAGGAGATTGGAAGGGGAAGGAAGTTGGGAAAACAAAAGCCGGAATTCTGGGGTCAGGAGGTTGGAGGATCAGGAGGCTCAGGTCAGAGGGTAGAAGTCACGGGGTCATGGCACGAAGTTTTGATAAAGCTGCCTCGTGGGTATATGGGCATCTATTATAGTGTATCTGTTACTGTCAGATGTGGGGGTGGGAGGGGGATCAGAATTTGGGGAATCTGGGGCCCAGCATGATGTTACTATTTGACCAAGAACGGAGGGCTTGCGGTGGGGGGGTCAGTTCTCTAGTCTTTCTTGTATACTTGCAATATTTTGCAATAAAATAAAATTTAAAAGAAAACACCAGGGCCACCCCGGCCGGGTAGCTCAGTGGGTTGGAGCATCATCCCGATATACCAGGGTTTCAGGTTTGATGTCTGGTCAGGAAACAGCAAGAATCCACTAATGAATGTGTAACTACATGGAATAACAAAATCAATGTTCCTCTCTCTCTCTCTCTCTCTCTCATCAGTTAAAAGGAAAAAAAAAGGATGATAGAAAGAAAACTCCAGGTCAAGAAGTTAGAAGGTTATGAAGTCCCGACCGCGGAGGCTGCAAACCAAAAGGGGAGCAGGGGCCACTGACCGAGCCGCCCTCCACGATGTCCCGCCACAGCGGGCGGTCGGGGGGCTGCTCGGCCAGCTCCAGCAGGTTGTCCAGCACCACCTGGCCGATGAGGTCGTGCCGCGAGAAGCGGTCGAAGTCGTAGACACTGAAGTGCAGTTTGCGCTGGGCCAGCTCAGCCAGGGGCACCGCGAACTGAAACGTCTCGTTGAACACAGGGTTCAGGGTCTTCCTGTGCACCTGGGGGGCAGTGGAGACAGACAGACAGAGAGACAGACAGACAGACAGCATGCCCACCGGTCCCTCCTCCCCAGGCCCCCGGAGTCCAGGCCCCCAGCCCCTCCTCCCTCAGACCCAGGGGTCCACGCCCCCAGCCCCTCCCCCGTGGGACGCAGAGTCCAGCCCGCCGCCCCGGACCTTGGTCTGGAATTTTTTCTTGCGGTCAGGCAGCAGGTAGATCTTGACATAGGGGTCTGAGAAGCCGTTGGAGTCCTTGGCGGGAAGGTCCAGGGCCTGCAGGATCCGCACCACTAGCTGGTCCGAACCGTAGAGGTACCGCAGGGCGAAGCTGATGCGGCCCGCGCAGGGTGCGCCCGCGCCGGCCTCTCCAGAGCCCGGGGCCCCGCCGCCCCGCCAGCTGCCAGGTCCAGTCCCCTGGTACAGCTCCGGCTTGATCTGTCCAATGAGCTTGGCCTTTTCTTCGCCACCAGGCAGGGGTAAGGGTAGGGCAGGTGGCCGCTCCTCACTGCTGGGGTCCGGCTGGGGGGTCAGGGTCTGCTGGGTGAGGGGCCGGGGCAGGGCTGGGTACCTGCAGAGGGTGGGAGAGACAAAGGTGTGGCATGGGGCTCTCATCTCTGGAGACCCGGGGGACTCCTCCCTGCCCCACACCGCCGGGACCTCTCAGCCCTTGTCTGCCTTTCTCCTGACCTCCCCCGCCTGTCTGTTCTTTTTCTGAAAAGGAGAAAATTACGGGTCAGTCTCCCTGATGTACACAGATGCAAACATTCTAAAAAATATATTAGCAGGCCCTGGCTGGTGTGGCTCAGAGGATTGAGCGTGGGCTTGCAAACCAAAGGGTAGAGGTTCAGTTCCCTGTCAGGGCACATGCCTGGGTTGCAGGCCAGGTCCCCAGCAGGGGTCACATGAGAGGCAACCACACACTGATGTCTCTCTCCCTCTCTCTAAAAATAAATAAATAAAATCTTAAAAAAAATTATACACCAGGACCAAGCGGAATGTAACCCAGGGAGGCAAGGATGGTTCAACATCTGGAAATCAATCCGCGCGGCACATCACACCCCACAGCAGCTGTTCCCTGAGCTGCCAGGCTGCAGGCAGCCCTGGCCTGGCTGGCTGGAGCGAGTCAGGCGGCCTGGGGACTCACTCCTCTTGGACTGTGAGTGACGTGAGGGCGGGGTCTGCCTGCCCGCTCACCTCTGTGTTTCCAACATTCAGGCCTTGTGAACTGCCTTTTGCCTCAGGATCCTGGGGTGGACGGGGCTAACCCTCCTCCTCTCTACCCTCCTGACTTTGGAGTTCTGTCCCCAGCTTCCTTCTTCTCTTGGATCCAGGAGCACAGGCCTCCAGCCGCTGCCCCTCTGCCCCCCATTCAGGCCACGGGCCCTAGGGTCCTCCCCACCTCCTCTCCCAAACCCGGGAGTCTGCAGCCCAAGTTTCCTTCATTGCCAGGAGCCAGGCGGCACGCACACCTCAAGCCTGCTACTGCCCCGGGATGCAGCAGTGCCGGAGACGGGAGACACACACAGAGGAGGAACAGACAGTCAGAGCGAACCCCCAGCCCGGCAGCCTGTCTCACCTGGTGGTGGGTGCTAGGCTTGTGACCTGCTGGTGGGACTGGGCACTGGGCAAGCCCCCACCGCTAGGGGGCATCAGGAGCAGTCCAGAGCCTGCCCCGCCCTCGGAGGGCAGCTCCGGAGACGTCTGGCTCGGTTTGACCCCAGCGGCGACTGCAGCTGCGGCCGCGGCCTCTGGATATGAGTCCATGTCCAAGTAGGAGGGCTCAGGGGGGTCAGAGCCCCCCAGGCTGCCCGGCTCCAGCAACTCGGAGAAAGGCGGGTGGTGGGCGGTGTGGGCATGGTGATGCGGGCCCCCCAGCAGGGGATGGCCACCCAGGCCAGCCCCGAGGTGGTGCCCACCGCCGCCTACCAGGCCCGCCAGCCCGACCCCAGGGCCCAGGTCTTTTCGCAGGGGGCCGCCGCCCACTGCCGAGCCTCCCTTGTCCCGCCAGGGCACCCAGCACAACTTCCAGGACACGAAGAGGGAGACGCCCAGCAGGACGATGCCACAGAATGTCACGATGACTGACAGCAGGCTCACGGAGATGTCTGGGGAAGGGGAGGACAGAGGTCAGGGGTCAGGGTGGGGGTCACACAGTATCTTCCCACTGCCATCACTGAAGAGCTAAGCTTTGAAAAATAACTTTTAAAAAATAATTTTAGTATTTGCTGCGCACTGTCCAAAACAATTTATATATATATTTATTTTAGTTTAAACTCCATGACCTTACAAGGTCCGTATTTTTATTTTCAATGGGTTTTAAAGATTCTTTTATTAAAACTGGGTATTTTTATGTAACCATTTTAAAGACGAGGAAACTGAGGCACAGAGAGGCTGAGTGACTTGTCTAAGGCTGCGCAGGTGGCAGGTGTGGGATCTGAACTCAGCAGTCCGTCTCCAGATTTCATTCTCTGTTGTCAGCACGCAATGACTATAAGTGGATACACAATCGGTGATAGGACCAGAGTGCCCCCCAAACCCTCGGAGAATAGCCAAGAAAAAAGAGTGCATGACGCAGTTAGGCAGGTCAGAGTTCATATTCCAGCTTGCTGTGTGGCCTGGCGAAAATATCTTAACCACTCTGAGCTTTACATTCCACATTTGCCAGATAGAAAAATCAGTCGTGCCTCTCTGGGGTGCCTGGCTTCAGAGCCTGCTGTTCTGCACCATTATGCTACCATCCCTCAATATGTCCCAGTAAGTGGGAGTTCAAATGTGACTTTTTACTAGAATGAATCTGGCTGTACCCCATGTATCCACTGCTACAGCCAACACATTCTGAATGCCCACTGGGTGCTGACCTGCCTTCCCGAGAAACCCAAGTACAGCCCAGTTCTTGAACCAAAGGTTCTGGCTTATTCCGTAATTGGTACTGGGAGTGGAATTTCTTAAAAAAGACCTGCAGCCCTGGCTGGTGTGGATCAGTAGACTGAGAGCTCCACTGTGAAGCAAAGGGTCACCAGTTTGATTCTCAGTCAGGGCACATGCCTGGCTAGGTCCCCAGTAGGGGGCGTGCAAGAGGCAACCACACATTGATGTTTCTGTCCTTTTTTTTTCTCTCCTTTCCCCTCTCTCTAAAAATAAAAGAAACAAAATCTTCAAAAAAGAAAAAGACATTCCAGCCTCCTGAACATGGGAAGAATTGATAAAAGGGGGTCATTTTGGAGGACAAGACAGAGAAGAGAGGAGAAACCTAAACAGACATCCTTTTCTCCATGGTCAGCCTGACCCAGACCCTCTGCAAGTCAAAGCGTCAATCCTCAAACTCTGCCAGATTGCTCCTTCCTGGGCTGGGGAGCCACAGGGTTGGCGAGGCCGTGGGGTTGTGCGCTGAAAGGTTCCCTCTGCCCAGAGAATGGTGGGCCCTTGAGGGAACCCCAAGCCTGTGGGACGCCCTGCTTGAGCGTTTCTGTTCACCTGAGAAACCTGGAGTCACGCCAGGTAATCTGTGCAACAACGTGATTGATGGTGGGGGTCTAGGGCCACGCAGTATCGGCTGACTCCTGGAGGAGCTGGAGACCAAGGTCAGCCACGGGGCAGCCAGGTGTGTCTACACGCCCTGGACACCAAGGCTCAGGCGAGCAGCCCTGGTGGGCACTGGTCCATGCATGTTGTCACATGTCATTCCTGGGAGAAGGAAGCACGGTCTGCGTGACTCCGTTAGGAGAGGACGAGCGGCAGGCAGCTCGTGCCTGGTCTCCCTGGGACCCTACCCGATGGGTCTGTTCCCTTGGCTGATTTTAATCTCCTTGTTTTGCTGTAAGAAACTGAAACCATGAGTCAAACAGCTTTTCTGAGTTCTGCGAGTCCTTCCAGGAATTCACTGAACCTGAGGGTGGTTTGAGGAACCCCTGCACTGTAGTGGTGGATGAGACTGCCCGGGGTCAAGTTCTGGCTCTTTTGCTGAGCACGCAACTGCAGCTCTCTGGGCCTCACTCCTCATTCCCGTCCCCTGGACTCCCTGCATGCCAGATGCTGAGCCTTGTCCCTGTGCTCAGCAAGTGTGACCGTCACTCAGCCCCCCAGGGCATGTTTCTGCAGGGCGCCTCACCCAGGCAATGGCCCTCAGAGTATTTCCCAGCTCTTAGAACCCTGCTCGCTCCTAACTGGGTGAGACCTTGGGCAAGTCAATTCACCTTTTCTGAGCCTCAATTTCTCTCCCTGGAAATGGGGGTTAAATATACCACAGAGGGTCCTCGTGACTTGTCGATGAAATAGGTGAAGGACCTCGCATGTTGCCTGGTACACAGTGGCTGCTTAATAAGTACATCCCAGCATTTATTAAGTGACTACTGTGTCCCCAGCCCATTCTAAGCTCTTCACAGGTGTTCTGTTGTTTGAGTCTCTCTGCTGTCCCACGATGTAGTCACTGTCCTTATCTCCATTGTCTAGGTGAGGAAACTGAGGCATAGAAGAGTCACTTGCCTAAAGCCACCCAGTTAGGAGGTGGAGGAGCTGGGAGTTGAATGCAGATGGGTCAGTCTCATTCAAGAGCCTGAGATTTTAAGCATTTATGCGAGAAGTACGAAGATATCTGTAGGAGATATATGGCAATAGTGTGCAGGACTGGAGAGGATTACAGAGCAAAATGCAAAAGGTCAGGGCTTGAATGGACCACAAGCTCCTTCTCCTTAGGTCAGAATTTTGGGGGACCAGCAGCAGGCAGGATGGAGGTAAGACTCTAAGAGGGATCGGCCCCATAGGGACCAGAAAGCTGAACAGGTATGCTCTGAATCTCTGAAAATCCTGGCTGTGAAGGGGGCAGTGGGCTGGCCAAGGCAGCGGTGCAGCAGGGGGGCGGGTGCTGACCTGCATCTGGGCCCCGCGGATAGCCTCGAATTCGCAGGTCGTTGAACTCCTGGCACCTGTCGCTGGTGTCGGCATCTCGGACCCGCGCACAGAGGTCTGAGACCAGAATGAGTGCCCGCCGGCAGAGGTCGTCCTCATAGTCTCCCGACATGGTGACCGGTGGGGTCCGGTGCTGGGGAGGGGCCGGCAAGGGTGCAGGTGGAGAGTGAGACGGGGGAGAGAGAGTGGGTAAAGTGGAAAGAGAAGGAGAAAAGGAAAGATGGGCAAGGGGACAGAGATGGGAGGGCACGTAGACAGGGGGATGGAGATTAGGGAGGGACGGACAAGGAAAACGAAATGGGGAAGTGAACGAGAGGACTGCAATGAGGGGTGGATGGGCGGGAAGATGGTGACAGGGGCTGGACCAACAAGGGGAAAGAGATGGGCATGAGCAGACAAGAGGGCAGAGGGTGGGGACAAATGGACCAGGAGGAAGAGACTGGGGAGGCCACAAGGGGCAGAGATTAAGGACACACAAAAAGGGGGTGAACGGACAAGGAGACACACAGGGGTGCAGAGGTGAACAGACAGAATTTAGGGATGGACAGACAAGGGAACAGCCATCCACTATTCATGCTTTCAGCACATATTCATGGAGCATCAACTACCTGCCAGGAGCTATGCCAGCGGCTGCAGATCCGGCAGGGAACCAACCCCATGCATTCCCCAACTTCCTGGTGTCACCATCCACTGAGAGGTGACAAAGAGTAAACAAATCCACAGACACACATAAACAACTAAACACTCTCAGACTGTGAGAAGTGCTCTAAAAAATCAGTGGGTGGATGTGCCACAAAGGAACTGGGAGGTGGGTGGTCATGGGGTGGGGGCCGGGGGGGTGAGGGGTGCTCTTGGAGACCTCAAGGATGAGATGGAGCTGGCCAGTGGGGCTGGAGCGGGGAAAAGCATTCAAAGCAGCAGGAACAGCATGAGCAATGGCCCAGGGTGGGAAAGGGCTTGGTGAGTCCTAGGGGTGGAAAGGAGGCCGGATGGGAGTAGACGGGGGAGAGGACGAGGAGAGAGGGATGGGTGGTGGCAGAGACATAACAGGCGGTTCTGTGTGCTGGTGGCTGGGGAGAGACGAAGCTGCAGGAGGCAGACACAGGGACCAAGTTGAGGGAGGGAGAGATGAGGGGCGGGGAGACAGAGATAATGGGAAGGGCACACTGGGGTTCAGAAGAGAGGGATGGACAGACAGAAGTCTGGGACTGAGACTCGGAATGGACAGCCGAAAAGAACAGGCTGGTGTGTAATTCACGGGAGTGTGAGAGATGGGCAGACGGAGGGGTGGTGACGAGGGCCAGGCAGGACAGTGGACAGCAGCATCTCTGAGAGAGAAACAGTGAACTGGAGAATGGATGGGAGGCAGAAACAACGGAAACAGAGGCAGATAATGGCCAGAGATCACAGACGGACAAAAGGATACAGCAGAGAGCTGGACACACAGGCAGGGGCTCAGAAGCAAGGTTGGAAGTGGGGAGCATCAATGAGAGGAGACCGGGAGAAAGAGGTGGACGTGGGGAGAGGGGAAATAGCGACACATGGTTTGGGGCTAGGGGAGGACTGGAAGGAGCGTGCAGGGGAAACTGGGGACAGACAGATCAGGGCTCACAGATGGACAGGTGGCGTGAGGGCTCTGCAGAAGGCCAGGACTCTGAGTCAGGCATGGTCAGACTCACCTGCTCTTATCCCTGTCGTGTCCTGGGTGGCTGCCGAGGCGGCGGCTGGCGGCTGCCCATGGGGGTTGGAGGGCGGACAAGGGGCTGTGGACCCGCCCCCACGCGCGCCAGGTGGTAAGAGAGGGTGCCGGATCTGATGGCCGGGGCCAGGGGAAAAAGCTTAGTCTGAGCCTCACATCTTGTCTTACGCTGGCGAGCTGCTTGACCCCAGGCGACCTCGGGGAGCTCGAGCCACCCCCTCCCACCTCCGGGCCCCCACCTCCCGTTAAGAATACAGACTACAATTCCCGGCAGGCCTTGCGCTCGCACTGCAGCGACTTTATAGGCCCAGAGCTGCAGGGTCTCCCGGGAGTTGAAGTCCTTAATGCCTCTCCCGGCTGCAGAAAGGATGGGAATTTTTTGGAGCGGGGGGCGGGGGGGGTTAAGAGATGCCGGGGTCCCAAAGCACTGCAGGGGACAGGAATGAAGTCTGGGACCTGGAGCGGCCGCAGAGTCCTAAGTCTTTAGGGGCTGTGGAGTGGATAAACGATCTCCACGCCCAGGGAATCAATGGGCGAGGTTGGGGTACACGCCGGTGTTTTGGGAACCCCCCTTCCAGGGCCACGTGTCCTTCCCAGGGGCAGCCAGCGAGCGCTGCAGCACTCCCACTCCCGGGCCGGAGATCGGCGCGCCTCTGCAACTACCCCGCCCCCACGCGCCCGGGCTGCCCCCTAGGATCCGGCTGGGGCGGGGGCTGAGGCTGGGGCAGGGGGGAGGGGAGGAGCGGACTCACCGGAGCCGCCGCTGCCGCCGCAGCAGCCCCGCACGCCCGCCGCGGTGCGCGTTCGGCTCCTCCCCCCGCCCTGGCGCAGGTCCGCCGCTCCTCCCCTGCACCCCCCCTTTTCCCCCTCGGAACCTGCGGCTTCCATGCCGAAATCGCGCGGCCGCCGGGAGGAAGGAGGGAGACTTCCCGGGACCAAGGCATCCGAGCCCCAGCGCTCTTCCTGACCTCTACCCCCCAGGATCCAGGGGACCCAAACCACGGTTCCTCTTCTCTCATACGGAGAAATCCGGGACCACAGTCCCCTAGCTTCTCCCAGAGCCTCGGATACGGAGCTCCCCCCCTCCCCCCATCAAATCCAGGAATCCACTCCTCCCACCCGCTCCAACTCCGGGACCGGGGAGTCTCAGTCCCGCCCCCGCCCCCTCCTCCGCAGGACCCGGGCTCCAGGTCTCTGGAGCTGGGCGGCTGGGGAGGGGAGGGGAGGCGGGGCCTCAGAGCCCGCGGGGGGCGCCGCAGCCGGGCGCGGAGGTGCCAGCAGCACCTGGGTTTGAATCCTACCAGAGCCGGCTCCTGCTCTGTCATCTTTCGCTCTTTGCTCTGAGCTGGTTTCCTCCTGAACAAATTTTGGACCATAAACCCGATTCCGAAGGCATCGGTCGCTACAGATTGGCACCAAGTAGGTGCTTACTGAATCTTTCTTAAAAGCAGCAAGAAACAGTAACTGGTGTATGAATCGCAGTCAATGATGATCGCCACCGACTCCGATGGGGGCAGTGGGTTAAGTGCTATGAAAGCGTTTTCTCATTTAATCTGTACTGTGGCCCTGAGGTGGGCGCAGTTCTGTTATTTCCATTTCACAGCTGGGACAAGTGAGGTTCGTGGAGGGTCAACCCCTTGGAGAAGGTCCAGAGCTAATAGCCACAGTTGTGATGCACAGGCAACCCTGTTCCACGGGGAGAGACACGCGGAAGGAAGTGGGCTACAATGCCTACACCCAGAGAAATGTGCACAGATGGGCTTTCCAGATTCCTGTGCCTTGTTCCCAGACACTCAGATTCTGAGGCCGCCAAAGCACCGAGAGGCAGCTGTAGTTCTCTGGTCCGTGTGTGAGACTTTCGATGCAAAATCCCAGAGTTCAACTTTCAGCTCTGCTCTGTCAGCACTGTGTGACCTTGGATGAATTGCTTATATTCTCAATGCCTCACTTTCTCTAGTTGTAAATGAGATGGATTTTTAAAAAACAGTTTCTGCCCTGGCTGGTGTGGCTCCGTGGATTGAGTGTCAGCCAGCAAACCAGAGTGGCCAGTTCTATTCCCAGTCTAGAGCACATGCCTGGGTTGCGGGCCAGGTCAGGTTCCCAGTAGGGGGCGCGCGAGAGGCAACCACACATTGATGTTTCCCTCTTTCCCTCCCTTCCCCTCTAAAATAAATAAATAAAATCTTTACCAAAAAACCCACCAGTTTCTATGTCATTACGCTATTTTGAGGATTCAATTAAATTTGTGAGGTGAAAAGATGCTTAGTATTTAGTAGTAGTGTCATAATTAGTAATGACATGCTTTGCTTATATGTTCTTTTTCAAAAGGATTTTATTTATTTATTTTTAGAGAGAGAGGAAGGGAGGGAGGAAGAGGGGGAGAGAAACATTGATGTGTGAGAGAAACATCAATCGGTTGCCTCTTGCTTGCCCCCGACCAGGGACCTGGCCCACAACCCAGACATGTGCCCAAGAGGGAATCAAACCCATGACCTTTTGGTTTTTGGGTGGACGCACAACCCATTGAGCCATGCCTGTCAGGATTTCTTACTTACTCTTTCACCTCATTTTACAAGCAAGGATATTGCGGCACAGCGAGGGGAAGTACCCTGCCAAAGGTCACACCACTGGGAAGCATCAGACCAGAGTCCTGCCTCTGCTTTGTTTGCATCCAGGACATGTGAGGACCTTGACCAGCATCACCTGTGGGAGTGTAGAATAGTGTAGAGCACTGGACGGGGACCCAGGAGACAGAGAGAGTCCTCTGCATTCACTCAGTTTAATCCATGCAGCCACTTGATAGATACGAGCCTAGCACCAGGCATGCAGCTGGAAACACAGCAGACAAAAATCCCAGCTTTGGGACAGGGGGATGTGATGGTGAGGAGGAGGTCACGGAGTGAGTGACATTGGCACTGAGCTCTCAGAAGGGTGAGTAGGCATGAGCTAGGTGAAGATGGGAGGGGGAGGGGAATGGATTGAGGGAGAAGGAACAGCCTGTGCAAGCCCTGGGTCAGAAGAGAGTGTGGCTTATTAAGGGGGATTGCTGAGCTCATAAGGTTCATGGGGATGGAACTTTTGTTTACTGCTGTGTCTCCACTGCCTGATGGACGATGCCTGGCACACAGTAGGCACTCAATATATTCGTGATTGGTTGAATGAATAAATGAATGAACAAGTAGATGGATAGAGGGATGGGTGGATGGATGGATAAATTGGATGGATAAATGAGTGGATGGATGGATGGATGAAGAAATGGACAAATGAAAGGAAGGAAGAATGGATGGATGAATGGATGGAAATATGGAGGGATAGATGGAAGAAATGGAAGGAAAAAGGAAGAGTAGATGGTTGGTTGGATGGATGGATGGATGGATGAATAATGGATGGATGGAAGGATGGGTGAGTGGATGATGGATGGAGGGAAAGATGGTTGGAAGGATGGATGGATGCAAATAGGGAGGGATAGATGGAAGAAATGGAAGGAAAAAGGAAGAATGGGTGGTTGGAAGGATGGATGGATGGATGGATGAGAGGATGGTTGCACTGCTGCATGTATGGATGCATGAGTGAATAGAGGAGTTTGCACAAATATCTATGGATTCACACACAAATGTGGCTGGAATTAAATGCAGACTCACACCCACAGACACGCATACATGTGTGTAAATATAGATACACCTCTTGTCTTGGTGCTCCCCGTGCAGAGAACAGACACTGGGGGGAGGGGTAGGCCAAGCCGGCCAGGGCCTGCATGGATGAGGGTGCATGGAGACAAACCCTCTGACCAGCCCCTCCTCCCACTGCGGCACTGACATAATTTCTGGAATAGGCAGAAAGTGCTGATTCAGGTATTTGTGTCCCAGGCTGTGTGCCAGACCAGGGAGTGGGACAGATATGGTCTGAGAGAGATGGGGTGCGTGGCAGAGGGAGGAAGGTGGGGCTAAGACAGAGAGACAGGGGAAGAGATAGAGAGACACAGAGCAACAGAGATGCAGAAATAGAGCAATGGAGACAAGCATACACACACAGACAGACTGAGAATCGCAGAATGGTACAGAGACAGACACAGAAAGACATCAGATAGAGACTCATGAAATAGAAATTCAAATTCAGACACAATGAGATGCAGCAGAGTTCCAAAGACAGACAGGTAGAGAGAGGGGTAGAAAAATGAAGACACAGAGAGAAATGGAGAAACACAAAGAAGCAGATTTTAGAAGGAAAGGGAGGGGAGAGGGAGGGGGCCACTCCAAGGAGGGAAACAAGAGAGAGACCTTCAGAAGATGAAGCCAAACTTAGTTTCAGAGATGACAAGACATTTGCCCAAGGTTGCACAGGCTGGGCATGGCATTCAATGCTGTTCTGTTTGACTCCAGAGTCCTTGTCCTCTCTTTACTTTATGTTGCCTCAAGAGGACCAAAAGGGACAGGGAGGATGGGGTTGGGGCTGCTGAGTCATGCACAGTGGTAGGGAGAATTAGTTGCTCATTTATTCACTCAGCATACATGTTCTGCACTTCCCTGAGCAAGGTGATGCTGGAGAGCCAGAGGGGAGTGAGGCGTTGTCAGTCTGGTGTGGGGAGGCAGACACAACTTTAAATCCCTGAACAAGACAGGTGGACTGGACAGGGCTCAGGGGTCTAGGAAAGGAGCAGATAAAGAACACATAAAGGAAGACTACAGAAAGCACAACTGGAGGATGAGGAGTCCAAGAAGGCTTCCTGGAGGAGGGAGCATTTGAGCTTCTTAATAGAAGATGAGAGCATTCTGGAACTGGGAAAAGGGGGAGTCCAGAAGGGCCTTCTAGAAGGCACAGCATGTAGAGAATGGAGAGAGGAATGAGCTGGGAGGTATTCATTAAATAAAATAATTCATGAAAGGTGACTGGAGATTGTGTGAAGGGGTGAGATGGGAAGAGAGTGGGGCCAGATCATGTGGCTCTCAGATGCCTGGGTGAGGTGCTGACATGTCTGGGGAGCTGTGAGCAGGGGAGGGGCAGGGTCAGCTCTGGGTGCAGAGAGCCCTCTGGAAGCCTGTGGGGGAGGGAATGAGGGTGGGAGGGCAAGAAGGAGGCTGAGGAAGAGGGTCCAGGCAGGAGAGGGTAAAACCTGAGTGGGTGTTGGCCACAGGAATGAAGAGAAGAGGAAGCATAGTCAGGAGGCAGAAGGGATAGAGCCTGGGGAGTGGTGGGCTCTGGGGGCTAGGTGTACCTGCAGTCGTGGGAATGAAAGGTGTTCTCTGTCCCATAGGGATGGGTGTGACAACTGAAAGTGGAAGACAGCCTGATGGGAGACAAAAATATGAAGAAGCAGAGGAACTGAGTCCAGAAATGAGTTTATTTCAATCTAGACTGTTCTCATTGCCAATGACAGAAACATAAATAATGTAAACATTAAGGGGGAATTATATGGATGAGGGTTTCAGGCACAGCTGGATCCAGGTACCCCAATCCTCATCAGGAATCTGACTGTTTGCATCATTGGTCTTTGCTTTCCTCTGGCCTTTGCTTTCAGGCAGGTTGTCTCCTCACCATATGGCAATGTGATGGCCTCCTGCAGCTCCAATCTAGACTCCAACCAGCCTGGCAACCTCAGTGGAAACACACAAAGATCCTCATTAATAACAAGTTCAGCAAAAGGCCTAGCATTGTTTTCTTGACTGATTTTTAAGCTCACCCCTGAACAGCTGGCGCAGAAAATCGAGGTGCTACTACCTAGAAAGCAGGGCACTGATGCTTATCAAGCAGGAACAGTGGACAGCCCAGACGGAGACCATCTGGAAGTGGAGAGAAGAGAACGAGAGACATA